TATATGTAAGGTGTTCAGTGTGATATTCTGATGTGCACATGCACTGTGAAGTGATTACCTTAATCAAGCTACCTAAGCGATGTATTAAGCGGAACAATCTTCTGCATCTGTGTGCTTGTCTGTAACCGTCTGACAATGGGAGGGACTCTACTCCGGTCACACCCAGACGTACATCGGCAGTGACACCCACAGGTGTCGTTACATCTGCTGCGTCTTGGAGAAGCCTCACGAGGTTCCCATGTGTGGATGCTCCCAGCTACATGACAGCAAGAAACAGCTGATTAAGAGTTTCTCTCTAGTCACTGAGGTTTTACTGAAGAGATGAAGGGTGGACATTCCAGGCTACTGGGATTTCCTGGTGTTTCATTTCATCCAGACTCCTGGGTGGGATGACGTGAGAATCGTGGACTTGCTGAGATGGGCCGCCCCGCTGGCCCACCTCTTTTCACTTGTGGTTTTAAGCAGGAAGCCTCACGAGGTTCCCATGTGTGGATGCTCCCAGCTACATGACAGAGCAAGAAACAACTGATTAAGAGTTTCTCTCTAGTCACTGAGGTTTTACTGAAGAGATAAAGGGTGGACATTCCAGGCTACTGGGATTTCCTGGTGTTTCATTTCATCCAGACTCCTGGGTGGGATGACGTGAGAACCGTGGACTTGCTGAGATGGGCCGCCCCGCTGGCCCACCTCTTTTCACTTGTGGTTTTAAGCAGTGACTTGTGTTTTAATACAGACTCGCTTATTTTTGACCTGTTTTATAGGCAAGCCAAATACTACTGTGTGTCTAAACAGTAGACTAGGTTTTGAGTGCAGAGGAGTAAAAGTGGGAAGACCTGTAATCCTATTACTTGGGTCAGTGAAGTGCCAAGATCACAGTCAGGGCTATTGAATAGCAATCCTTAGCGAAATACCACGTACATCAGTCACAGGCGTGTACCATTTATAATTGTCACCTATCACATATGCCGATGGGCATCCCTACTATCAACTAAGAAAAGAGGAATCCCAATAACTGGGTTCTGATCCTATGGATTTGTTCAAAGTGACAGAGTTAGTCTCTTACTGTCTTAGCGTTTCCTGTATATGTGTACGTGAGTTTTAGTCATATCTTAGTGAATTTGGTATGAAGTTATAATTTTAATGTGCGCCCCGTCGGATAAGTTCATCACCTCTTATTGGTGACAGTCAAATCTTTTGGTGAAATGGCAGATGTTTGTATTATCAGACCTGATTTGTCTCCAGAACACGATGGGGCCATCATTTGCATGGTGGAAAAATACTGCATGTAAAACCATTCCAATAGCCAAGCTAAATGACTTACTCTGTTTTTCCCAGGTTTCCGCTTCTGTCCTAGCGCCCCCGCTCCAGGTGCACGTGTGTGCACCTGCACGATTCTTCAGGGGCGTCTCCTACACTAAGTAGGACGGTTACATCCCCCACTTGCTGTGATCACTTAATACGGTGTCTTGTTTCTTGGTCAGATTTTGTTGGTCCTTTTATGTCATTCTCTCTGTACATCCTGTTGCTGTTATTTCTAAAATATTTTTTAGGGTTTGCAAAGCAATATTCTGTTATCAAGCCACATTGGAGGACCGATGACAGGAATGTGATCTTTGCAACATTGCTGAGGTCATTGAATAGTCTGAAAATGTGGAGAGAGCGTCGAAGCAGCAGAGGAGATTAATCCCTGTGGAGGAAGAGACGCTTTTTCTTGGAAACAGAGCGACCAGAGATAAAGGGAGGAAGCACATCGGTTACACCACAAACCGTTCTGACATACATAATTGAAAGGACTTAAAGCAAATATCTTCTTGTTTCCATTTAAATCAAATGTAGCTTTAATTTTTTAAAATACAGGTTTTTTTATGCAAGTTTTCCTTCATCTGTGATAAGCTAAAATGTATGTTTGGTTCTCTTTTTTCAGAGCCAGGCCAAGTCTATTGCAGAACAGAAGAGATTCCCGTTTGCTACAGACAACGACAGCACAAATGAGGAACTAGGTAAGACGTGCACCTGGAAGGTTGCTGTGGTATTTGCTGGGGATTCGTGATCTGATGTGGAGCAGGAGCCAGATGGGCCCAGAGACTGGCTCTGCAGTCGGAGCTGTCTGATCCAGCCCTGTTGGGGGTCCGTGTGTCATGTGTTTGGATGGAATGATTGCGAAGGACAGTTCCAGCTCCGTGTTTCTGTGGAAATTAATAATTACGTTAATGACTTCTCACGAGCAGTTAGCATTCATTAAAAGGTTGAGTGCTGTCATCGCACGTGGAAAGCAGAGAAGAGAAAGCAGAAGAGAATGTCAAAACATCTGCTTTAATCTGTGTAATAAAACAGCGACGCTGACATTTGTTTTACTCAGGAGACCAGTCAGTTATTAGTGGGCCTAGGAATGTGAGTGTAGAAAGATCGAATTTGTGGAAAGCGACAAGTGAGCCCAGTAGTTTGGTATGTGCGTGATGTGTTTTAGAACGGGCTGGCTTTGCGGGTGTTGGGTGTAGGGCATGCCCCTGTGGTGCCTGGTGAGCTGGCACTTGAGGGAGCAGGAACGTATCGAATGCAGGGTGGCAGAGTGGGGCACTGTCGCACCCGTTGCTGCGGGGCCAGCACCAGAGTGCCTGCAGGAGTTTTTTTCTGTCTACTTAGCCCATGATTATTCTGTCTTTGCCATGGCCACACCTGTTTTATATCAGGATTAAAGGAGCTTGTATCAGCTCCTTTCCTCTGTTAGTGCAGATAACAAGGAGCTGACTGTTTCTGAAAATGCCAATCACTTATCAGCGATATTAATCCTGAAGGCATCAGATTTGGTCTTTTCTGAAGTCCTTGGATTTTGTTCATTTATTAAATCATGAGTTAAAGGCCTGCCATGTGCCAGACCTGTCCTGTTCTCCAAGGATAGTCCCAGTAGACCCTGGGGTGGTGTAGGCCCTGAGCTGGTCTAGAGTCTTTTGTACCACAGTATTTTTTCTTGGACAAGCGACTTCCGTCAACATGTACATGGCCAGGAGCTGTGGAGTTGCTGGTCAGTAGAGATTTCTGTGAGAATTCCGGCTATACCAGTTTTTCCTTTTTTTTTTTTGGACTCTCACAGCAAAACTTAGATCCTAATATTTATATTTGTGCAAGATTTGGGTTAGGGTGGTTTTTTTAAAATGGATACTTTTGGGTTTTTCCAACAAAGTGTTTACTTTTGGATGGAAAGATTTGAGAACTGCATTTGATTTTATTCAATGGGATTCAGCAGCCTCACTGTGGACCACAATTTGAATATATATGTTCCTAAAGTACAAAATTTATCCCTAAAATTGCATTTGTTTTTATGGCTAACTTATTCATCTGTTCATTCAGCAGATAGTTGCTGATTGTGGGAAGACAGATAGGAAATACTAAAAATTTAGATTGGAAAGGAATTGTTCAGAAAATTTTCTACAGGCTTGTTACGCACGACCCAGAGAGTTACAAGAAGCGGCTGAGGACCCCGTGGTCAGGCCCCGGGAGTGGCAGAGCCAGAATGGGAGCCTGGAGCATGGCATTCCACTATTGTCATATTCCTGTATTCAAAACAGTGCCAGTGTGTGTCTCAGTCCCTGTTCATCTGACCGGCTTGCAGTCCAGCCCAGCGCTCCGAGGTTCGCTACAGCCGGATCTGCTTTAGCACAGCAGGTTGGCTGGAGGGTGGGCTCCGGAGCTGGGCGCCTGGTTCCCGTGTCTTGCTCCCTATTTATTGTCTTCGGATGGTGGATTTAAACTGTTTCATGCTTCGTTTCTTTTGTCTGCAGAAGGGTTAGTAATTATAACTACCTCATTGCCGTTAAGGAGTAAATGAGCAATACCCGGGAAGGTTGAGGACTGTGCCTGGCACCTGTTAAGAGTGCTGCGCATGTAATCGCTGCTGTTACTGTTGTCACCTTTACTGTAGGACCGTTGCAGCCTCCATCCCTCCCCCACCCCCACCACCCAGCGTGTCTCTGGTTACCTGGAGGTTAGCTGTCTGAACGGGAAACCGGGGTAAAAACAGCCCTCCTTTTGTTTCCAAGAATGCTCCCCAAACCTCTCGTATTGTTATGATGCTCTGTTTTTTCAGACTTTATTTTTCTCAGGTTATTTTAACAAATCCTCTAAATCTTTTTCTGCATTTAATGTTTCCACTGCTTTTAATGGTCAGGAAGTATAAGCTCTTAATGACACTAAATGTCGAAGTTGCCCATCTTCTTGAACACCTGTTAGGTCCTAGAATTAGAGGGTATTCCAGTAAAGCTTTTTTTGGTAAAGAAATTTGATCAAAATAGTCATCATGTTAAGTGAGGAATAAAATGCTTTTCGAGGATTTTGGGGGGTTAAGGGGTTAGGGCAAATACTACAGTTGGAAATGTAATCTAGAATACTCGTGTGTCGTTTTTTTGAATGAGTGAGAGAGTTTAGTCAGAATATTGTCATGTTTTAAGAGACGGTCCTGGCTCTTAATTTCACAATACTATTTTCCTAAACAGTTTGGCCAAACACTAGTCATCTTCAGTGTATATTTTGAGCAGTATTTTGGCTATATTTGGGATAGAAGAAGTAGGAAAAAGACTCATTCCGTTGCAGGGGTGTGAATTACCCACAGTTAAGCATCAGAGTAGTGTGCTTCATCTGAGCCCCGGTTTTCATTCCTACCAGGTAGTTGGCGGTGCATTCAGCACTCCCAGGAGTGGAGACTTTTGATGCTCCGTGGGTATTTCTCAGGACGCTCACGGTGAAATCACGTTGCCGTGTTATGTGACTATCATTCTAGCGATACCGTTGCTAGCTCTTTTGATACTTAGATAGGAAACATCACAAAGGTTCTTTGGGATTTGAAAGTGAGTGGTGGGCTTGGAAAAAGGTAAGTACTTGTAGGCAGATGTTTAATAGATGGCGTCAGAAGTTTAAATCCAGGTGGAGCCGGCAGGCCGATGAGCAAGCGCTGACTGGTGGAAGTGGAAGAATTCAGTGACATCCTGTGACCGCCTCCGTTTTCTTCAACTGCTTCCAGTCCTTGGAGCTGCCTTTTGAGATTTAGCAAGGAATTCAGTCTCTGACTCTAGTCTGTGCTCCTTCGTTCTTTCCTTTAATATTTTTGTGTTTTGTCTCATAGCTATCGCTTATGTGTTGATCGGCAGTGGCCTCTACGACGAAGCAATAAGGCACTTTTCGACGATGCTGCAGGTAATTTTTCTTCTCAATTATGTAATTTCAAGTTTGTAGTCATGACAATACGAACTGACGCGTGGCTGACGTGCTGCAGCGGCACGTCTGTTTTAAGCTCGTGCAAGAAAGTACAGGGAATCAGCGTGGACGGAGCACTTTCTTGGTGCCGGGTCTCGTGACCTGCTTCCATTTCGTCTTTGGGGGATTGCTTTATTGTAAACGAGGAAAAGGAACTCTAATGAGGTTAAGCTCATGGTCTCCCAGCCACCAGGCAACCGAGATGGGGTTCAAATGCACGTTTAAAAAAGACATCAGCTTCGGCTCAACTTTCCTCTCTACCACACCGTCTCCCTGAGACGTGGACCCTGCAAAGTCTTGAAATTCCAGCTCCGTTTTCCACAGGAGTTGGTCTGCATGTTTAACTTAGTTTTCACCCACAGATTCTTTTCTTACCTTAGAGTATAGTTACTAGACTCGTCAATGGGAGCACTGGGCCTTTATTGACCGGTGGCTCTGATGAAGTCTAATTAAGGCACGTAAATATACGTGTACAAGAGTTGCGAAGGACCCGTAGCAGCCCAGGGTCCCTGGCCTTATGTCTCGTGTCATTATTCAGCTGGTTTCATTGTAGGTTCTTGGCCATTTATCGATTGTTGACATGTCTGTCCAGTAAAGTACAGTGAAGAAGACATGGATTTTTGAGTTAAAGATACCCAGTTTCTCATTTACTCTGCTGTCTCCTACTGGGTTATTTAACCTCCTGGGTTATGGGGATAATAACCACCCCCTGCAAAAATTCTTTTTTGGTTTAAATGAAATATCCTATAAATACTTAGTACCCAGCACCTGGCACGTAGTAAGTGCTCAGTAAACTTTAGCTACTCCAAGTACCATTCTGGTATATTCTTCTGTGTTAGTCATAGTAAAAGCCAACAGATATCTTACAATCTAGCAGGTCGACTTAATTTTAAAATATTAATTTTGAAATTTTGGCTCTGCGTTTGTGTTCCCTTTTAAAAGATAAGATTAATTATATTGATAATTCTGTGTTCTCAAAAAACTGACCAGATATTTTTAGTTATTACTTTGAAGTCCTCAGATTCAATCAGCTGTGTATTTGGTTGGTTATACAGAAAAATATTCCTCAGTGGCATTCGAAGTACACAGGGTAGATTATAAATAGTTTTTTAAAATTACCTTTCTATTTAGTGTTGCAATGTTATGAAAGGTAAGCAAGCACTTTTACACAGTTAACACATGGCCTTGGGTTGAAAAGGAGGTTTTGATATATTTACGGGAGCAAATATCAATTCATTTATGGTAACCAACAAGCAGAAAACACTAGGAGTTTGCAGATGTATTATCATTTCATTCAACTTTCTGAAAATATTATTACCATGTAATTGAAGGCAGTATAACAATGTTAAAGGAAAAATTTTAAATAATAAAAATTTTCTCATTCTGCCACTCTAACATTATTTTTTTGTATTGCCTTTTCAAAGCATGCATTTGTGTTTTGTAATCTGAATATCTGTACTATTTTGTATTGCTCTTTCACTTGATTTTATACTAGAAATGTTTTTCAATGTTTCTCTGCAATCTTATAGTTTTAATGGCTCTATAATATGGTTTTAAATTGTCCATTTATAGTTGTAAAATATATTTCTCCTGCAGTTGCATTCAGAAAGTAGTTCAGATTTTCTCTCAGTGCAGAGAAAATATAGTAATATATTGAAATTTGATATGGCATTTTATCAATTTGTGATACTATATGGGTTGCTTTCAACCAGGAATTTTTCTCTGAGAATGTGTGGATTGTAAGGTCAGCTGCTTTCCCAGTGATTCAGGCTACTGCTGGGGCCTGGGTGGAAGCAGCAGGATGTTGAAGTGCAGAAGAGAGAATGGGGCAATCGTTTATGATGTGATTTTATATGGCAGTGAGCGTGCCCTCGGCTTCCCTGCACGTGCTTTTCTTGGCGATTTCTCTTACCCTTTTTCAGGGCTTCCCAGCTTTTTCCACATCATGACACACATGGAAAGTCATCTTTGCACAGCTCGCTGGAGTTAAGTGGGAGCAGATTTAGAGGGACCCAGATAGAGCTTGGCAAAAATTTGTCACATTTTCTTTGTATTATATTATGATAAGAAATAGAAAAATACAAAGATTCGATGTTCAACGCTAAAATTATTTTCAAAAATTTTAATAAGAAACTTGATCCTGCTTTTCTGGACAAAACTTTTGTATATTAGGTTTCATGTTTGAAATTGATGCACACAGTTATTAAACCAGAGTTTTCTGTTGCTTTCTTCAAGTTCTCAATAGCCAGTGTCATCAAGACACTGTACAAACAAGTGGCAGCAAATGTCGCTTCTCCAGTTGACAAAACTCCGTTTCTCACCGTGAATCATAATTTGTATAAATCACTCTCTTTAGATTCTATTTTAAAGGTACGATCATTCTTTGAATCTAATTGCTCTGTTTTCTTTTACTGGCAAATGCAGTGATAACGTTTCTTCTGGTAATGAAATGGATTTTTACCCCAACGAGGCGTTTTCGTATCCAGTATTTCACGTTAGTGGTGAAGCTTTTCTGCAAGCACACCCACATGTTGCCGTGCTGTGTTTCATTCTTCAAGTTAAAACCAAACTGATATCGCTAGAGAATTGTTTTTGTCAGTACAGTGTGAACATGTTTTTACCTGTTCGTTGCAGGACCTTTCAGATGGTCCTGTGCAAAAACTCTGTGTTTTTAAGACAGTAAATCCTTAAACAGGTCCGCAGAGTGCTAACTATTCCCACACAAACTTTTTGGTTTTCTCGAGTTCATTACCTCTTGACAAAGCTTTCCTTTTAGACAGCCCACGAACTCCAGTGTGAAAGAGCAGAGCGTGGGATCTGATTTCATTTGTAGAAAGCCGACAACAGATGGGACCACAGAGGCTTGGATTTTATTAGAGTCACTATTTCGATAAGATTATTTAATGTGAAATTCAGATCACATATAAGGGATCCTTAAATTCCAGAATGACCTGCTGATGTAAAGATTTTATACCTCCCTGTTGTCTTAGCCGCACCATGAGGGTACAAGACATTTTCATAATCTTGGGTGCTTCAAAGTGTTCACTTGAATGTTTATCCCCAGTGGTTCGTATAAAGGAACGAAATGTTCCCCAGGCAGCAAGGTTTATTACTGAGCACAGCTACAAGGTTCAGTCCGCACTGAAAACTCTGGATTTTAAAAGCTTTTGAGTTAGTGTTGTCCCGCATCTGTGCTCTGAAGACACTTCCACACGTGTCTGCGTATCCATAACTGTGTTCTTGAGGAGCAGAACATTTCCTGCTTTCTCTGCCTCTTTGGCCCCCGTGGGTAACAGAAATGTTTCAGCAAGTTTGTGAGGCAGTGTGGCCTTTGCTGTTAGTTGTGTGGCTCTGAGGCCATCTGTTCTGATTTGAATTCATCAAGGAACTTTGCTTCTTACTTTACATTAGCAGACAACTTTGAAAACATTCCTCTGCATACAGTTTTTAAAACATCCTTTATGTAAATACATGTGTCTACCCTTAGGCAAAATTTAATCTTTGTTACGTTGCTTGCACACTGACTTTTTAAAATTGTCTTTGGATCCAGTGACTTTCCAGTTTTAATAAAAAACCCAGCCTTACATTGAGAAGCTAAAATTAAAAAAGAAAATAAATAAAAAAAACAAAACAAAAAAACCCCAGCCTTCTGGGGGAAAATAAATATCTGTAAAATTTAATGTCTACACTACATGAGGACACTTCAAAAACTTCATGGAAAGATTCATGTTATCTTTTAGTTCTGTTTTTCCATGAAGTTTTTGTAGTACCCTTGTATAAGTAATCGAATGAGGATAATACTTTAAACTTTTTTTTAAGAATTGAGACATATAAGTGGACGCGACTCCATTAAGGTAACTACTTTATTCTACCATGATTTTGCAGTTGCTTGTAAGTAAAATTGGAAGATTGAAATCATAGTTTTTATTTAACTCATTTAAAATTCTAAAAGCTTTATAAAATATAAACATAACTGAATAAAGTTGTATCAATTTTAAAAAGTAATAAAAATCTATTATTTAAATTTAGGACCACTTAGTACTAGACTATGAATGTAGTAAGAGCCACAATAATTACACGTCCTTCTATGCTGTTGGAAAAAAATTCTAATAAGAAAGAGTAAATTGAATAGAGAGAACCTAAATGCTTTAGAGATGTGCACGGTAACAAGTTCAGTGCTGCAGTGATGATCAGACCCCGGGAGGATGGTGCGTGGGGCAGCGTGGGGGTACGTGTCACATCCAGAAGCCAGGACAGTGACCACTGGATTCCGGAGGTTGTCAGTGTTTGATATTTCAACTGTTAGAAACTTTTGAATGGCTGTTTTTTTTAATGTTTATGTTGCTATAAAAATGTCACAGCCATGGTAGGTGGAGACTCCCTGCATGGTGTGTCCTTCGTGAGCTTTGCCTTTCTGGAACGCGGGCCTGGCCTTTCCCCATCTGTTTCTAGCCTGGCTTCTAACCATGGCACCCTGCTTGCATCCCCCTGGAGAAGCTGACCTTGTTCTGATAGCCTTGAGTATTCATTAAGATTTTCCTAGCTGCCTAATATATGGTTAGTGTTTGTTGCTGAATAATCACTGTCACGTGTTAAGGCTTGTGTGCCAGGCATCGTGCTGGGTGCTGCAAACATAAAAATGAGAAGACGTGTCCTCAGAGGGGTGTATTCCAGCAGAGTCACAAGCATGTGAATGCAAAATGACATAGCAAGAGAATCACCTTCATGGAGCTGTATCCACCGTGCTGTCGGAAAGGCCCTCAGCTCCAGGGGTTCCCAGTCGACCTCCTGCTCCCCCATCCCTGCACACACCCACCCACGCGTATTCCAGGGGTGCCCAGCTCAGAGCCAGGCACCGCCTTGTGTGTGGAAGCGTGAGTCCCCGTGCTCCCCCCAGCGGTTGGCTGCTTATTGTCACCAAGCTCTCCCGCCTGCCTCAT